ATCAGCTGTTCTAAACTTCCTCATTGGAAGTCACGAAAAAGCGGCTCTGAAGAAGGCGATACTGCCGAAACGTCAGCTAGCGTTGTATAGTAAATAAAAGGTTAAACATAATTCAATAGCCGTCCTTCACATCACAATAAGTCCAGGAAAAAGTGGATCCTTTACAACACAGGAGTTCGAGGTCATTAGCATGAGATGCAGTTTATAAACATTTTCCAAACCAAATCTGTTGTGATCACGACATTTTCCGCTTCCGTAAAGTGGAATCATCAAAAAACGCCTGGAATCAGAGAAACACTAACTATAGCATAGAAATTCTTATCCTCATTGGAAGTCACGAAAAAGCGGCTCTGAAGAAGGCGATACTGCCGAAACGTCAGCTAGCGTTGTATAGTAAATAAAAGGTTAAACATAATTCAATAGCCGTCCTTCACATCACAATAAGTCCAGGAAAAAGTGGATCCTTTACAACACAGGAGTTCGAGGTCATTAGCATGAGATGCAGTTTATAAACATTTTCCAAACCAAATCTGTTGTGATCACGACATTTTCCGCTTCCGTAAAGTGGAATCATCAAAAAACGCCTGGAATCAGAGAAACACTAACTATAGCATAGAAATTCTTACTACCAATTTGATGAAATCCCGTATGAAAAGACTGTATTCACTCAGCTTTTCTCGACAGAAAAGATCCATTCTTTTCCATGAAAACGCTGACCTACATGTAGCATAACTAACGCCACAGAACTCCAACGAGTTGTGTTTTAAAGTGCCACACTTAGCACACTCAACGGAACTTTTACAAACTAAATTTTCTACGCACCTCTACAACGCTGCTGTATCATGGGCTTTTTCAGAGTCGGGGAATGAAGCCCACTTGTTTTAGTGTTTACCGGTTTTGATTTTTCCACCTTTTCGACTAAACGATTCTCCCTGCCTTAACGTAAGAGTCAGAAACCTGTTCGCTATGTAAGCAGGATGAAAGATCACTTAGCGTTATAGAACGCGCAGTTGAAAGGTCGATGCAAGGAGCATCCCGTGTCACACAAATAAGAAAAGGGATCCGAAGCTCCAATCTAGGTCAGCGATCAAAAATCGAAGATGTCGTTCCATACGTCAAGCGGTCGAAGATAGGGTGGGTTGGACACGCAATACGTATGAACGACTAATGATGGACAAGAGCCGCTAGCGACTGAATTCCTCGGGATGCTAAACGCACGGTATGTAGACCACGGTCCCATGGTCAGTTTTTCACGAAAACTCTAGAAAAAAGATATTATGGGGGCAATATTGAGTCACTCAACAATTAATGGCACCACAAGTGTTAGAGGCTGTTAAGGGAAACGTTCAGTAACTAAACCTCACCTTACTTGCGTTTGTGCAGACCTGTCCTTGGCTAAAAAAATTTGCCATCATTGCACCTGACACCGCTGACTGGATGTCGGCATCTTCAAATATAATAAGCGAAGACTTCCCGCCTAATTCTAATGTGACAGGTTTAATATTTCTAACTGCACAACCCTGAAAGCTTTCTGTTTTATCGCCAAATTTGGAACACAGCTAATCAAGCCCACCTGCATTATTTTTCGACCTGTTGAAATACTTCCGGTAAAGGAGATCTTTTTTACAAGGGGATGCTGAATGAGTGCTGTGCCGGTTTCGGCATGTCCCTGGTATGAGAAACTACTGAAGAAGTATTAACAGTGATGAGAATATAAGTTTTCTGTATGACATTTTGATAGAAGCAAATGTGACTCGATTCCGCACAAACAGCTGGAAGTAACATATGAAATATAAAAACGAAAGAGATCTCGGAGTGACTAGTGCTAATACGAAAGAGAACCTATGGTGTACTTCTTGGTTTTTCACTCTAAATCTTGAAAGCCTAAAAGATGTCCTCAGAAGATTAAGAAACTTAGTGGGGGTTATGGTCATGACTGCTCACGCCAACTCTTCTAGTTAACAGAAATACATCTCGTTATCGATTTACCAGTCAAATAATTGAGGTGTTTTACCTGAACAATATTAAAAACGCCATCTGGTAATCCAGACAATTGTAAAACTTTCGCCAGAATTACAGCAGACACAGGTGACAAAGGACTTGGTTTATAGACCACAGAGTTGCCGCAAGCCAATGCTGGTGCAATTTTCCATGTACACGTCTGTATCGGGTAATTCCAAGCACCTCAAGAAAAATCAAGGAATGAAGAGTGAGGTACAGAAAGAAAATGAAAAACAGAAATTGATAAATGGACAAAGTCTTAAAGCTTTAACGTGCAAACTTTCAATGAGGCTTTCAGTGAGTGTTGTGCCCATTACACCAACGGTTTATTGCCTCATCGCGGTTAGGAAGGTGTTTCTGGCTGTCGGGTTGCGATGTACAGCGGGAGGATTCATCCCCTGGCAGGATCTCCCAAGCTGAGTCCAGCTTTTCCACAAGGAAGCCTAGCTAAGAGTAAACCAATACCAAGATCCATTACCGTCTTGGTATCAAAGTCGCATAGTGGTAAATCTCCCTCTTATCCACAAGGGCTGCGACTGTCTATCGTGGTGACGACCTGGGGAGGTTTTAGCCTGGATGACCTTGGAACTGCAGTGAACCACAATGGCTAAATCAACAAAACCTCGAAAAATTGTAATTATGCTGGGGCCGGCACAACCAATGAGGACGGGCAATCCAACTATCCAAGTTCTGCACATCACAAACATCATAAACTTCGAGAGTACGTAGCTAAGTAGTTAGATGCGTTTATAATTAAACCCAACAAAGAACTATTTCTGCGTCATATGTTACTTATAGAGGGCGCTGTTGGTAGCGCAGTTGTTAGAGATCCCCTGCAATATAAACACGATATACGGTTCGTTCTAATGTTCCATGCAAACAAAGTCTTCTTTCCTTTCATGAGTAACAAAATATCACCTCTACGATGGTTAATATAGTTGGATACATGGTGCAACTTCGAAGAATTGAATAACTTTGGAGATTTCATCCTTCACCCTTTATGTGACTTATTAACAGCCAGCACCATTTTAACCTTAATTTTCTTATATGATGTAAAGTCACATACTATGCCGATAATTACAGTTCCTGCATTCGATTCGTTTCCTCGTATCCAACATCCACACTCGTCGGACATTTTTGCGCTTCGGTTCGGCTGCTGTTTGAGGAACTTGTCATCTTTATGAATGTCGTTGTGATCAGGCCCCAGACAAATTTGCCTTCACCAGGTAGCACGCTTGGTGGGTCTTGGGCGGGTTCGAACCAGAATTTTACTCGTAATAAAGAATCACTATCTTTGTGCTACACACCTCATATGCTTTATATTCTTTGTAATTCATCAGCTTCTACATACATCAACTATATCTTATTCTTGCAGATAATACACATGTACCTCAAATTTTGTAAGTATTCATTCCAAGTTCACACAGTTGAAGAAGACTCAAAACAATCAAGAATATACAAAACGAATTTTGATAACTGACTGCTTTCAGTGTGAAATTCTTTGTTCTAATTCCTTAACTAACATCCGTCATGGATGGTAAATTGCGATAAGTGGAAAATATCATTACTGTGTGTCTAAACCAGTTAAGTTCACTTTCTGCTCTTTTCTACATGGTTGCAATACTCCGCTACCAATCAATCTTAACACTGCAGTCATGGATCTTGATCTAGAAAGTGATCCGCTCACCATAATCATTATACTTCATAAATACGCTACAAATACCATTGTGATGAGGTGGATGCGAAATTCAACAACCAAGAAACTGGTCTGTGTTACCTACTCTAAAAACCGACTATTTTGTCTTCATTATTTTGTTCATGTTCAATATTAAAATAAGGACAATATGAAGCATTAAGCTTTTCGGTTAGGCAAAACCTTCGGTTTCTGGTAGAAAGGAGGAAAAGCCGCCGTTAAAAAGAGTAGACAGTAAATAACGAGTTAAAATTTTGATTATAACTGCAGCTTCAGCTTAACTGGGTTCGTTGCCGATTTGCGCTCCCCAGGTTAATCCCGCTGACGGGTGATTGTTGATGGCAAAGATCGATAGAACTAGCTGAGAGACAGGCGAAACGAAGGACCCGCATGGTGTGGTGGTGAGCGCGTTCGTTCCCCACCGCAGACACCTGCGCTTTTCCAAATATCTCAGCATCATTGAAGTTATAGCGGAGAAGATTTTGAAGTAAAAGTCATAATCCTAGCACCAGGAATCTAAAACTTCAGTGCGCAAAAGTATTGAAGCGTTTTGTACAAACTCTAAAAGTCCATAAATGAACCGCAAGGCGGAGTGCCTCGTGACAACATGCGATCTCGCGACATATCTCAGATCGATTTTTCACATAAGCCATGGCTATCTCTCACTCATGTGGGACTTCGTGCGGCTGATCTCCAGTAATAACGGGAGGTCCAAAAAACAAAACGATGAGTGCTTAGGAAAAGCTGTTAACTACGCGAATAATCATCTATGTATTGTTTTGTCTGCTGAGGTTATTCTAGTGTTTGACTGAGTGGACTGTCCTTCTATTTGACTCCTTCAGGCTCTCTCAGCTTCTGTCAGTGTATTAACAAACACTATAATACAACCCCTGTACTTTGTCACCAAAGAAAACAGTGAATCGAGGATGTTGTCAAAAAACCGGTTTTTGAGAGTATGCGTTAATAATGTTCCACAAAAACTTTCCGATATGTATAAGAAGGGTGAGAATATCTCTGCTCACCTATACATCCTACAACACCAAGCGGTTCGCGTTTCGTGAATGCAAAGCGATCTTGATCAAGCGGAATATGTTCACCAACTAGAGCTTGACCTGTACGTGTAATAATAACAATAATAATAATAATAATAATAAAAGAAAAAAGTGAACGAGTAAAATTGGAGCATATCAACCAGTAATGAAAAACCTGCACCAGCATAGTAGTTAAACGTGTCAACGCAGCTCAGCACATCTAATCGTGCTTCATAGATAGGTTTGCCACTGTCTAGACATTCCCATCGAGAAATTTCCTCCAAATTTTTCCTTATTGTCTGAAAAATTATCGATGTCACGAGCGCAAAATGGACAAAAACACATTTAGAATGTTCATGTTTCTTCTCTGGATAACACCTCAGCAACCCTCTTCAATACGTTTCCACGTTCCAACCATCCCATTCTCGACCAGTTCTGTCGCGCTTCATGAGCCGTCTCGACTGCGCGCGACACCTCGTTCGCTGTAGCGTTATGGCAGTCATCAACTTTAGAACCTACAAATTAAAATGGCATCTTAGTTTTGACAACTGACATCATTGGAGACACTCTGGACCCAACACACGCCCAAATTTCCATCTGAGTCACAAACTGCTGTAATCAATTTCCGACCATTCTCGGTCGTTCGAAATTCATCGTCCAAACCACATCTAACTTTATGTTCTACTCTAACGGAAAATCAAATTACGCCTACCGCTTCTCGGTTCGACGACTTCGAATTTCTGTCCAGTAGTGAAATTCACCGCTGCTCCACCAATAAAATGTAACGCGTTAGTAATATCATTCACTTTGAGTACTTGCTGTTGAAGGTTCCTGATAAGTCGCATGGCGAGTTCGGGTGCCCTACGAATTGATGCAGGATGTGATCCAGGCTCATCTTGTGGAATCCTACGTTTCCTAGCTTCATAGTATTGTTCCCAAAATTCTATAAATTGGCCATCCTTTTTGCGAAAGTTCAATTTATGCTCAGGAAACTTGATTACACCTCTATAGGCTTCAGTGATTAACTGACTGCAGTAATAGGACTCTTCTCCAACACTATTTACACAGTCTGGCGAGAATATGTCATTATACGGTAGGCCTGTCTTGCTCTCTGAAAAATTGGCCGCTCGGATTTTAAGTTCTTCTGAAACCTTAACGTGTAAAATTTCCGTACAATGCGGTTCGCATTCAGTAAGAAAGTCGCCGAACGACTGACATAGGACTCCACAAGGCAAAGCGTGGACAATCCGTCTATCGTTTGCAATAATCGCTACATGATAGAATGGCGACGAAGCACAGTCGAATACCGCTTGTTCGAACAAGGACGATGTCACGAATTTAGCGAGAAAAATCAAATCGCCAACTTCCGCTCGACTCAATTCAATGTCATCCATCTGAAGGTTTTTCTAAGTAGAAGGCGATCATAACTTTAGTTATAAAGAATCGATATCGTTACATTACAAAACTCTTCATTGACTCGATACGAACACACGCCTTCAATAAACATTAAGTCGTAAAACACACAAACGAACTATGATATATTTTAGTAAGTCAAATTGGACAAGTGGACGAAAACGATAGTTGGCATATCTCAGTACAGGACTGTAAGTGTACAGCGGTAAGCAACCGGTTAAACAAATATCAGATGTGTTAGCTTTCCATTACAATCACTGTTAATAGCTAGCCGATAGAATTACTGATATCGAAACAGATTACGTATACTAAAAATCGTACAATTGAACTCGTCTATCAGTAGAATGTAAACCGAACAGAAAAGAAAGCAACAACCATACTACGTTAAGGCTAGACAAAACGAAGTTCCCATGGTGGAACAATGAACTAGAACAAGTATGATGTTCTCCGACGCTATACGTTCAACACATTAATGGTGTTATCGATAGAATTTGGCCCATAGTTACTACAAAGTTTTGCCTTATAATGGCTAATGTTCCCATCAACCACTACTTACGTAGTAAGAATCTGGAATCGTCCTTGAAAAGCGTGTGTTTGTAACCTTCGTCTACTAAGGATCAAGAAGGACCGTTACCCTAGTAAACCGATTATTTCTCTTAGCAACCTGATCTGCAAATGTGTGTTTACGTTTAATTTATGTGTAAGAAAATAAGCGGGCTACAAGATAGTTTGAAAGTTTTGTTTCCATACACAAAAAACCGCTCTGTTATCAAAACTTCGACATTCGGATAATAGGATTATGCTTCCAATACACAATGTCTACATAGTTCAAGATTAGTGCGAACCATATTTTTTTGATGGCAACATTTCCGCTGAGTTCGTGTTCATACTACCACGATCTTAGTTCTATTGACTAGTGTACCTGGTAAGTTATTGAGAAAAAACTTTCTGCTACTCCTCACCATGTCCTCATCTTGAACGTTGAACTGGCAATCCATGAGACAAAGTTAATTATGTGACGGTTCGCTCCGCGATGCGCGCAATCCATATAGAAGTGAGGGCTTGCATCAGATAATGAAATCTAGCTCATGTGTTGTATAAGTTTTTTGGGTGAAACATGAAAGCAACATGTCGAGGTAACTATGGGCCACTTTTTGAATGGAGTAGTTTCTCATACTGCACTGCTGTCCTAATACGACTGGATGATTAAATGAATTCACTATTTACCTGTCTTATATACAATTCTTATTAATACCATATACATCATCAGTGCTGCCCTTCAAATTCGAAACGATCAATATACGCACTGAACGATGAGCTTCCCTTAAGATAGGTTCAAAAGGATAACTCATATTACCATAACACTTTGAAGCAGATAACGAATAATTTCTTTGTGCTTGCTTAAATCAAATAAAGCAAATTTTGCCCTGACATGGGCGTAAATGCTTTTTTTGGTCACCACCGAAACTGTTTCTATTTGTCTATTCCAGATAAGCCAGAGCCAGTTAGAGGCTTTTTCTACAAAAGGCACTTCAATTTGAAGCCTCAGAAACAATTGAAAGATACTTCCCGTAAAACAAAAGCACCTCTTAAAACTTCAACTACAATGATAACACTGCTCTAAATCGAAAAAACGAACGATATCGATAGACTAGTGGACTTCAAAGCTTCGCATGCAAACTAGAAGACAATAAATTGGTTCAAATGAACTGGATGAAAAAAGGAAGAAAAGAAATAGAAACCGGATCCGAATATCGCATTAGTGAGCCCTACGACTAAAACCGATATGAAATGAGTAGAAAGTGAAAAGGTAAAGCAAACGCTTACAGCACAAATGTCATGAAGAGAAAGCATTACCATTGCGAAGTAGCCGAATGATTGATGAGTATCATGTGTGGTATTACTGTTCAGATTGTTACAGTGGAAGCAAGTTCAGGTGCTCTGATACCGTGAGCAACAGGTAGACCGGTGGCATTCACGGCAACGATTTTTTCCAGCATCCGTTCCATACTCTTCGGCAAATGGTCTGTGAACGCCGATGCCGTTAACTTTACATCCGACAGACACCTGAACATTATATAAAGTTTGTCCACAAAATTAGGGAGCCCCATTACCAAACAATTCCTGATATATACCGGTACTCTCGCTCATAGAAGTCCCAAGAAAACGTGGTGCGCATCCTGGCGAGCTTAATGGCGGACCAAAATCGACCTTATAATTCTCTGAGAAGGAAGAAGATCCAGAGGATGGACTCCCTGTTTTTATGCTCCGATTTCTCCATAACATCCGTGTTTTCGAAGACGTATTCAAGTTGTGAGTGTGTTCTCATTTATGCGGAGTGTATTTTACAGGTCAGTTCGGCTAAAAGCCTGTAATCAAGAAACAGAGATGTATATGGGAACTGGAAGGAATCCCTCCAACAAATAAGCTCCCTGCCTACTCTGGGAGAGACTGTCAAACTACCCGTGACTATATTCAACCCTCACGTTGACACCATGGCACGCAACGCGTGCTTATCGGAAAAACAAACAGTAAAATAAATGGGATTCCCTCTACTGACGCTGAACGAGATGCTGATACGACAGCGTTGGCTAAAACGAATACGGACAAGCTGCAAAGATCTCGGAGCCATTTTACGTCGGCTAAATCTCGAGGGATTAATGTGACGATATGTGCTTGCAATTCACGCTCATTTGCACCTGAGTACTCGCTAGAGGACCTTGATCATGCAGGCAAGGAGGGTTAAAAGAAGGTTTATCATTGGAGTGGTTGAGACGAGTAGACGCTGCCCATTTAACGTCGTGTACGACGTTGGAGAACTGTTCCTCGGAACATGCGACAACAGAAGAGTTGGTGGCGTGCGCGTCGTCTTCAAAACGAGTTTGGCAAAGAAAAGCGATTCATTCGAACAACTATCAATCCGAATCGGACGTTTACGATTGAAGAAATGAGGGATCAATATCGGCTCTGATAATCTTCGTTGTCTATGCACCAATACCAAGCTATGACGAAAACAAAGTTGAAACTTTCCGTAGGACTAGGAGAAGTTCTACACAGAAAACCATATACTCCTCAAGGTCATCATTAGAGATTTAGACGCTACGAATGGATCCAGAATAACGTCTGAAAAACACCACATTGCGACCCACTGATTGGAATGAAACCAACAGAGAAAGTGGATGCCGTTTCTGACATCGACGAGGAATAAAATCTGCTCATTCAACATCTCCACGTCAGCGCTATGAAAGCTGAGAGTTCGAAAGTAACCAAGAGACGTCTGTCTTGAGAAACACTCGAGATGAAAAGCCAGCGTTGAACCACAAGTGCTACAAGAGCTTGCAAAGGAGCAAATCATTCGCGATTACTACTCGGATCTCTTAGGTAGCCACGTCTTCATGCCAACATGTGAATCAAAGGAGGATGGACATGTTGCCCTACCGGTTCTCCCTTCCGAAATCTGATATGCTATCGATGAATAGTTGAACCACACCTGATCTGGAGAAGATAATACTTTAACACCTGAAGAACCTTCTCAACCTGTCAGAATTCAAGGTTCCCAATCAACTATCTATGCCGAGGTTTATAGAAAGTCGATCTTTCGAGTTATTTTCTACATCAAAATACAATAACTCACTTCGCATCAATCCATTGACATGTTACTCCATCTTCAGTGGTATCATCCTCAGCGATATGCAACAACTTTCCTGGTGCAAATAACTGGAAAATATTGCTATTATAATGCTGAGATATTTGCAAAACTCCGGACCGCAGGTGCTTGCGGTGGGGAACGAACGCGCTATTGTCCTTTCCGGGGAGTAACGCGTTCACCACCACACCATGCTGGCCCCTTCACCTGTCTCTCAGCTAATTCTATTGATCTTTTTTCTATTAGCAATCACCATTCAACGGGATTAATCTGAGGAGTCCAGATCGGCATTGAAACCAGTTAAGCTGAGACTGTAGTTTTAATTACAATCTTAACTCTTTTATTTACTGCCTATTCTTTTTCAAATATCTCAGCTTTATAATAGTTATATTTCGCAAAATACCCTGCCGTTAAAAAGAATAGGCAGTAAATAAAATGTTTAAGATAGAAAGATAGTTTTTTTTACTAGAGCTTCAATTACCATATTTGGCCACGATGGTTCTCCTTAACACATTTGTTTACAAAACTGGCACTAATTACTCTCAACAGTCAATAAACATGAAAACAATAATTCTCACAGTAACATTCAATACGATGTACTTACAATGAATTCGCAATCGCTCTTCCAACGAGAAATAATCACCTCATGCAATTATAAACATGTGAAGTAAGAGGAAGTATAGATAACGTTCTCTATCACATCCAGAGTCTCCTCTATCTACTAAATGAATCATATTTGTATATTTCTCACTCATATCATTGTTGAATGTTCCTATCTAGCAAATACGACCTAGACATTCATTGATTGCACACCGTATTGGTTTGGTACAAATACAGCAGTAATTACCAAAGCTTGAAATATGTAGTATGAATACAACAATCAACCCACGTAGCAAGAGCGAGCTCATACAAGCTGGTACACGCAACCAGTTTTGCTCATGCTGTACTTCGTTTAAAGAAGCAAATCGATCTCCAACATTTTCATACAGAACCTAGCGCTGTGGCTTCATTTGACAACTACATCCTACATATCAATCACAGTATCGTAACATTGTAATGTTCATCTCTTGACTCACTGACAGCTCCTCAAACTTCTTAAAGTAACACCTATATGTTGCACAGCTTTCAATTTGTCCGCACCACGACAAAAACCCAATTTGGGAGACCAGCACTACAACTTACACATCGACCACTATTCAACTAATTAGCCGCTACATAATCCATATATTTAAGGAATAAACTACTACAAATAATGGCGTGTCGAACACCACAATATTTGGTGCACTTGTAGCGTCTACTACAGAAACAATACCATGTATAACCACGGCCACAAGA